GCAGCAACTAAGGGATCTGTTTGCTTGGTCAATAGTTGACACTTGGCCGCATTCAGTGCAAGTCTCATTTATTCGACCACTCAACCACCCGTTCAATGTCGCTCACTAGCTTAGCTCTACCACTCGATCCCACCACCTTCACGTCATCCGCGAAGACGAAACAGGGTGAGTTTGTTAATCCCGCCAAGTCGTTGATGAACAAGAGGAAGAGTAATGGTCCGAGAACCGAACCTTGAGGCACTCCACCGGCCAATCGAATGACCTGAGAACTGGCCTCCCCACTCTCACTGCGAAGGTTCGATTTGTGAGAAAAGCGGTTAACCACCTGTGCAAATTTCCTCCTAGCCCAAAGCTTTTGATTTTGTGAAGGAGCGATCTGTGGTTCACAGAGTCGAAAGCTTTGCTAAAATCGGGGTAGCAAACCTCGATGGTATGGCCCTCATCTAGCCTTTCTGTGACTTCATCCAGGTAGCACAGAAGGTTAGTGAGACAGGATCCATGTTTTAGGACTCCGTGCTGCACCCCGCTTAGAAGGGTGTAACGCAGTAGATGCCGACATACATGTTCCCTAATCAGCTTCTCCATACATTTGCAGAGGATGCTGGTGAGGTTTACTGGTCTATAGTTTCTCATGTCGGATCTCTGACCGCCCTTGTGAAACGCTACCAGAGTAGCTGTCTTCCAGTCACTAGGTAGAACTCCGTCCGCTAGTGACACTTGGAAGAGCAGGCTCACGGGTGTAGCAAGGACATCCGGTAGTGGTTTAAGGATGGCTGGATGAATCCCGTCTGGCCCTGGTGCTTTGTTTACGTTGAGTTCCGACGGAACCCTACGCACTTCCTCTGGTGTCACAACTACATCCTCCATAGTCTGGATCTCTTGACCCCCTACAGACGGGATAACCCACCCTCTATTCTCCCTTCCAAAATATCTCCCTAGTATTATGGCCTTATCCTGGTCCGTTGTGACTATTTTATCGCCCTCCAGGTTAATGGCGCCTATTTCGCCCTTAAGCACCCCTTGGACTGCACGTAACTATAATACCTTTTCGGTTTTGCCCTCGCATTTTGGGATGGATGTAGTTCGTATTTTCGCTTTTCGCTTCGAACTACGCGAACAGCAACGTTCCTGTGTCCTACGTAATGCATCCACGACAGCTGCGATTCTACCTCCCAGTATCGTTTCCAGCTGGCGTTACGACGGCGTATTGCCTTTCTAATAGAAGCCTTCCACTAACGTGGTTTACTGAATGACTTTCGCAGTTTCAGAGGCGCGAACTCATTCTGCAGTGCAATTAAGTTCTCCTTAATTATTTTCCAGACATCCTCCACTACAAACCTATCTTCGGCTGGCTGCCTGATGAGCTCAGCTGCCTTCCTTTGCAGTCCATTTACATCTAACTTTCCGAAGCAGAGCATCTTGCGTTCATGTGGTTTCGGCAGCCTTGTTTCTAGTGTCAACTTAATAACCACGCGGTGGCTTTTTCCAATTGGGGGGTAGTAGCCGACTTACTGCACATCCGTATCGTCCCGTGTGATAAAAAGGCCCAGCAGAAATGGTTGCTGTCCCGACCTAAAACGCGTATTTTTTGTTACGTGCTGGTGCATTGCTTTGAGAAGCAGCCAATCTACAAAGCCCTGCTCCTGTATATAGTTCGAACAACTGCCGATGTACCATTTTGTACCTGGTAGGTTGAAGTCCCCCAGTATTACTGGCTTGTGAGGCATCCGTGCCAGCATATCGGAGCTGATCGGAGCCGCTCGTTCTCCGTTTCCATCGCACTAGGACTTCTATATACACACGCTATGTTGGTTTTGTGTCCCTCAGGGGCGATAGTGACTGAGCACATCTGTATGTTGCTCGTGCAGACTTGAATAGCCAACCGAACTTGTTGGATATCCTTCTTAACTAATATGAGTACTCCGCCACCCTACAGCTGCGGACTCCGATCTTGTCTATGAAACTCATAGGCTTCACGAGCCAGTGCCTGTACATGGTTGTGACTAACGAGCCATGATTCTGAGACGGCTACTTCAGCCGCTTTGTGCTCATTTGCTATGTTTAGGGTTTCTCCCCANTTTGTACATAGTACTACATATTTACCGTCCCTCACGTCTACCCCCCTCCGGACTCTTAATTTTCCTGTCCTCGCGTGACCCTCGGACACAACACCCGAAGGAACAACAGGTTTTTTGACGCGTCTATAAGTTGTTCTATAAATGTACCTGTTTTACGCCCTATGGCCGAGTTCATCTCGCTGGGCGTTTAGGTCTTCCTGAGTGGCGTAGTGGACCCGGAGCCATCTACGGATCCATCCCTGTCCTTACTCACCTCTGACTCCGGATGTACGCGACTTTGCCAATGCGCGTTTTCTAAGACATCCTCTATGACTACGACAGGGGATAGTCTACCCATACCTATCTGCGATGAACTCTGTTTCTTAAGTTGGAGGTACGTTGCCGTTCGGTTGCCAAGCGTTCTGGCTTCTGGGGATGTTAGACACTACTTTATACCTCCCACAGGTAGCATTCAAAATTCTCTGGGAGTTTGCGAGCAGCTTATCTCTACAAGTTGGCTCCACGAACTCAAGAAGTAGGGGTCGGGCCCTGCAAAACCCCGCTGGTTCCGGGTGTTTCCAGATGCCCACCCTATGTATTCTCCTTGTGCTAACGGGTGGCATACCAGCTGCCCGTAGGACATCCTGCACTTTTCACCGGTTCCTTTCTCAACGAGCCTTAAATTATTTTATGAACGGTTCTTCATCGTTCAAGATCAAATCCGTCCTTTGTCTAAATCCCGCTACATTTTCATTTATTCTTAAGAACTATAGGTTCACCTGGACTTCACGCAACTGCACTTCCAGGGATTTGAGTGTGCCTGCGCGGTCATCCTGTACAAGTTTCTTTTGTATTCCTGATTCAGTAACCTGAAGCTTTTCCTCTACGCCACGGTGCTCCAGCTGATGACTCGTTTCGGCTTCAGGGTCTGGGTTCGGCGTTTTGAGACCAACACTCTTATTCAAAGCCTGAGCATCTACATTGGTTTTTACTTTTTTCGCGGCTGAAACTTTGGCGTACTTCCACGCCTTGTATCGAGTGACAGGTGCATCACCCTGTACTGCTACCGGTTCGCGCTGTGATGAGACTGTAGTGACAATCTGTTCATTCCCCAACACCATTCCCTCGAAACATGTAAAGACTCTATTTTGTTTTATTGCCCTCCCTTTCGAGAACTCATACGACCTCGACCCTGGACACAAATTCCGGTGAGTTGTATCGTGCGCTTGCTCTCTGTACAATTTCCGCTGCAGGTCACATACACGCAAAATGCTCGTATTCAACTTCCTTTTCAGTTCTTCCTCGCCTAGGAAAACCGCGTTATAAGCCCGATCAATAGAAAACGTAGAAGCGTCCTAGCTTCAGCCATCACTTATCGTGCTAAATTGGCGAGCCCGTATTTTTTAACCCGCTTATTTTAGCACCCAACGGCTGAAAGTTTTCAGTGAGTCTGGTGCCCCACACCAGACGTATAAGTTTATTTGTTTTACTTTTCTGCGATGATTTCAGTGAATTTACTATTTTCATTTTCGGCGTACCTATTTTTGTCCTCCCATTACTACATCTCTCGGTTTTTGCGTTTTGTAACCCTTTATATAGCCGAGAGTTATTTTACTTATTGTATTCTTGTGCACCAGTACCCTAAGATCTACGTTTATTCGGGCTTAATATTATTTATTTATTTATATACCTGATTTCTCACCCTTGGTCATCATGTTTAACCCATACACTGAAGGAAAGGAGCACAGTACTAGCGCACCAGTGGACGAGACGAGCGTATTGGGTCTACAAGCTCGTATACCAGAGTTTATTCCGGAAGNATCAATTAGCCGAGTTTAATCAGCTGGTTGGTTACCTCCCTAAATCTATGGCCCCAGGACTACGTGATATTGTCTGTAATCCACTCGCAGACCGACCCTATGACGCCCTTTGCGATGCAATTCTGGGTAGATTTGGCATACCCGTAGAATGCCACCTCAAACAACTTTTAGATGGTCTACGTCTGGGAGACAACGGCCTCGACACTCCCACAAAACTTTCAAGTTACATGCAGGGCCAGGCCGCAAGCCTGAAATTCGACGAAACTATCCTCCGTTTGTCCCGGCTACAAGCTCTACCAAAGAGCTTGTCATCGTTCCTGCAGTACTTTGGACAACGCTTTACCTTAATGGAACTCGCCTAAATGGCTGACAGGGTATATGCCGACCAGTTGTCCGTCCAAACTCTCACCTAACCAGCGCACCCAAAGCCCTCTTCCGAAAACGCTGAACTTGTAGCA